AAAAAAAAGTTTTTTAGTTACAAATAAAGTAAAAACCTTTTGCCACTAAAAAATTTGATCGTTCAAAAAAGAAGTAACAGTTTCTACCAATTTTCTAGAATTTGAGGAAGAATTTTAAGTAATGCGAAAAGTATCTCTAGTCCTCAAAAGCGTTGATGGAAAAACCTCGTAATCGACAATGCCAGAATCACTCGGCGATGGCGTAATGTGTATTCCTGAGCTGTGGCGGCTACCTGATGACGCGTTCGAGCCGTACACTTGGTGCGACGACTGCGACTTCTGCAACGCAAAATTAGTTCATGAGTTCCTCAGCATCTGGATGATGGATAACCGTACTTTCCAAAAAATTGTACAGAATGTGATTAACAAGAAAAACAACTGCTAAAGGTGGTTGTGCTGCTGTATGCTGCTGGACCCCAAAAATTCATTATTATTGTTCAGCAGCTGGTTCCACACTGCATGCGGTAGAAAATATGCGCCTACGCAAACAATACTCCGTTCCGTGGTAGAAGCAGCTATGAGTCCCGCCCCTCAAAAAAGGTGACTATGAGCCGCAGGAACATTCCAGTGAGGTGAATTTGGAAAAATAATCAAAATTCAATCAAAGGGATGTTAAATTTAAAGGAAAATCAAATCAGGCATAAAATTATCTGCAAAAATGGGGAAAAAACAGGTGATACTAAGCAACTTAAAAATGGGAAGTATACGGCAAAAGATAATTCTGAATTAAATCAGCAATGTGCGATTAGTTTGAAAAAAATCTCAAAAAGCTTCCCAGGGAGGTGCAATAACGAACAAAGCAGACCTTAACGATGTTCTGTGGCGACTGCGTAGCTGATATGCCAAATGTCGTGCCACAGTTGTGCTGCTGGATTTTGTTACGATTATTATTACTGCTGTTATTGTTGTTAGTAGCCAGTGAAGCAGGTGGCGGCGGCGGTGCTGGATTGCGATGACATCCTGTCGAGTAGTGCACCAACGAATAGTTCTCGCTGCTTGTCGAATCCACTGCAAACCAAATCAACAATTTACCGACTAGCATCCGAGACTTTTACTACGAGAACATTGAGCAACAACATTTTCACTAAAATCCGAAACGCATCAGCACACAGTGTCCACGATCAGCAGCGAGAGACACTCTATCAATATCCGTACGCCATATGTCCATTAAATAGCTTTGACCTCATTCACCCCTCGTTGTTTCCTGCCACTAGAAATTGGATGAAACAATTAAAGGGCGAATGAGGCCACAGCTATTTAAGGGATACGTTTGTTGAAAAGGGTACAATATCAAAATGAAAATGACTGAAGATATTTTTATGCGTTTTTTGCAGCAATGCAATGCGAAAAACGCATATTGACGAGAGGTTGTC